GCCCCCGCCCTGCACGCAATTAAAGTTCTGTTTAGGGAGTGCAATCATATGCTTCTTTGAGGTTAAGCAATGGCTGGGTGAGCAAACAGTAGATAAGGAAAAGGCAACTATTTGTGGCAAAACACATCAAATTGCAACCACACATGCTGCCAAACATGATGGGAAAAGAGGCCAGCTCCCTAATTGCTCATATTTTCCTCCCAGGCGGCCTTTCTTCTTCGATCCTTTTTAATTCAACCAATGAGATTTCTGTTTTAGACAAATTTTAATGGCCTCTAATTTCCCCCCCCCCGCCCCAATCTCTTTGTTGCTGTACATCAACATTAATCAGCTATCTCGGTATTATCATAATGATCCAGAGATTCCCTACCTCAGCGGGATATTTGGTCCCAGCCACAGTATGTTCAGAGCCCTTGCTATCAGAAGCTCCCCAGTGGAAATGAAACTGCTTGAGTCTGTATAACCCTGAGATTGGTCCATCCGTTAAACCTGCAGAAAGAGAGAAAAATGGCAGAATGTGGATAAAAGTGCTTCACTGTTCAGCACTGACATAAAAAGATCTGACCTGCAGGAAAAACACTTCAAAAGCGCTGTATTTGCGAACAAAAGGAAATGGAATAAGATGTGATACACACATGTAGACACTGTGACTGTGACACACTTCCATGGAAGCAGTCTCAGTTCCTGTTGTGTAAACCCAGCTAGAGATATTCAGTTCAAAGTAATGTCCAGGTATTGTAAACACCAGACCTCTTTCCACTGTTGTGTAATGTATCTATTTAAAGAATACAAAGTAGTTCAAACAGCAGCAATTAATCCTGTATATTGTTCTATTTCTGGTGCAACATCATATGGAGCCTCCCAAAACAGGATATTTATTTGACAGCTGTTGGTCTTGAATGATAAAAAAGTAATCTGTGTCTACATGAAAAATGAAGAATTAGTGGAGTATAACATGAATGTGTTACACAGACACCTTTCTTAGAAGGGCCGGGCCTAAAACAGGTACAGTAAGATTCTAAGAAAACATAAGAAACCACTTTGTGTGAGCAGTAGAGATTTTATCCCTGTGATTAAGTTGATTATGCAACCATAGTCTCGATTATCCCCTATCAGAGCTACTAAAGAAAAACAAAAGAAAACACTCATCACTCTGAAATCCTAAGGAATCCTAAACAAAAGTGGAGGACATGTCCTTTTTTATGTTTTGTTTATCTTTTAAAAGTTTTAATATGACCAGAATGGAAACACACATAAAATAAACAAACAAACAAATAATATTTTACTGAAAGAGAAAGATATTAGCATTAATTTCATAGTAACTGTTTCTGTGCACACATGGGGACATTAATAATTAACAAAGCCCATGTATGAGTAACCTTCCCTTTTTTTGTGCTTTTGACCTCACTGTTAGCAGAGCTGGCGTGGGAAAGGTTTACCAAGGGTTAGATTGCCAATTCAATCGCGCTTTGTGCTTGCCTTTTCAACGAGACCTCTGCACCTTAAGCAAATGTATTCATTGTAAAAACGACATATTTCATTTTTCAAAAACAACATAAAATCTGTGCCATCGCTAATGGCGTGGTGTTAAGGAATCTGGGGCGCATCTATATTATAAGCACAGTATTAATGTCTTTCTAGTCTAAAGCTTGAGTCTGTGGCAGCTGTGGAGATGACTGCATTGTATAAATCATCCTCAGGAGCCTGATTTTTATTGTCCGCAAACCTGGATCCAAGAATCGTATAGCTTCTCGGTTACTGTGAGTAATATGAATGTAAGAGAATGTGTTTCTCCGAGAAATCTGAATCAGTACCTGGACGGTTGTAAATTTATTAGTGCGGGTAGTTTTAACACTCACTTGAGCTGTCGGTGTCGTCCGCGAAGGTCACTTGGACGGAGTGCCCGTTGTTGAGAATATCGAGGCAGGTGGACGGGTCGTACTTCAGGGTGAGCGGCTTCAGCCCCGCGTCATATGATGCTTGGCCCGGTACGATGTCAATAGGAGACTGACGGACTCCATCGGCAATAGGGAAATTTTCAACCCACTTCTGAGGTCCTGGAAATTACATAATAATAATAACATTGTATTTAATATCAATCTATAAACATATTCTTTTAAAATTTTAATTATCTGTGTATTTGGGAGCTGAAGGTGTGAGTGCGTCTCCAAATATGCATAGTA